CACTCCAGCTTGCTGCCAATGTTAAGGTCCCTCAAAGTAAAACTCCTCGGGCAGGTTTGCCTCTGAGATGTAGGCAGGTGGTGGTTCCATTTAACTCACCATTAACTCATTAGTTAGTGACAGGAAGGAGAAATGTTTCATACAGGTCATCGGGCAGCAACACAGAAACCAAAGCCCAAAGCCTTTCCCCTCACCCTGCTTCTTCCCCTCACATCCTTCATGAGATTTGGCTCCTAGGAGCAAAAAAATTTCCCAAATCAAATGTGCCTTAAGTGCCCTGGGGCTAATGCAGAGGGCTCAGGTCAGGAACCACCATCTCTCCATGGTCTGAGCAGGTTACCAGTGCTGAGTTTGCTGCCCTGAGCTTCTGTGCAGCAAGTCACTGTCTGCCTGATTTTCAGAGAGATAAAAGCTGTGGTTTCACAACTCCTCACCTCTCAGAAAACAGACTGAGCCCAGGTAGGGTGTGAACATACATTCAGCTGTCATTCCTGTAGTGGCCAACAGGAGAGGTGCCCGAGGACTGGAGGATAGCAAATGTCACTCCAGCCTACAAGAAGGGCAAGGAGGACCCGGGTAACTACAGATGGGTCAGCATCACCTCCATCCCTGGAAAGGTGACAGAACAACTTGTTCTTGGCACTATCTCTAGGCATATCAAGGATGAGGGAGTCATTAAGAGCAGTCAACATGGTTTTACCAAGGGAAAGTCATGTTTGACCAACCTTATAGCCTTCTATGAGGAAGTAACCAGGTGGATAGATGACGGTAGGGAGGTTCTGCCTTGGTGAGGCCAATCTGGAATATTGTGTCCAGTTCTGGGCCCCTCAGTTCCAGAAGGACAGGGAACTGCTGGAAAGAGCCCAGGGCAGAGCCACAGAGATGCTGGAGGGAGGGGAACATCTCCCTGCTGAGGAAAGGCTGAGGGAGCTGGGTCTGTTGGGCTTGGAGAAGAGGAGACTGAGGGGCAACCTCATGCATGGGCACAAACACGTTCAGGGCAGTGTCAGGAGGACAGAGCCAGGCTTTGTGCAGGGGTGCCCAGTGACAGGACAAGGGGCACTGGGTGCAAACTGGAGCACAGGAGGTTCCACGTGAATCTCAGGAAGAACTTCTTTCCTGTGAGAGTGACAGAGCCCTGGGCCAGGCTGCCCAGAGAGGCTGTGGAGTCTCCTTGGCTGGAGACATTCAAACCCCCCTGGACACGTTCCTGTGTGATGTGCTCTGGGTGACCCTGCTCTGGCAGGGGGGTTGGGCTGGATGATCTTTCCAGGTCTCTTCCAACTCCTAAGATTCTGTCATTCTGCTGAATCAGAGTGAGAGCATGATCACCAGAGAAAAAACAATAGCTGCTCTGGCTTCATACGTGCCAGGATGAATTTCTCATGCTGACAATTTCAAACAGCTGTGGATTAGCAGCCTGAGTTTACACCTGATCTGCCTTCCAATTCCTATGGCTCCAGCACTTCCATCTGCACTACCAGCTCTATAGCTGGCTTTGTTATCAACCAGATGCCTTCAATAAGTATAAAAATGTTACCTTTTTATATCAAGTCCCTTTCCATGAGAAATACTTAGCCATTATAAAACTGTAACCACCAATCACATGTCATTCAGCCTGAACTCATGCTCCAATCTACCTGTTCATGTCACATTCCTTTTTCAGGTAAATGTACCTGAAATGCAGCAAAGGCACCACTAGCACTACATTGTTGTAGCTGTTTTCAGAAGAAGGAACCTGCAACCCTATTACTAAACCCTGAGCTTGTTAACTCTCAGAAGGATTCACTTCCCCTCTCATCTCCCTCAGCATCCCAGTGCAACATCCAGCTGATCCAGAGCCCTGCCCAGCTTAACAGATGGAAAATATCTGGATTTACAGATTGAGTATGAGTTTATTAGAATGATTCTCACCATGAGGTGAGACTTGCCTGAAACTGTGCACTTGTAGGAGCTTCAAGATGGAATTTATTTCAACAACATCCCACCTGAATTTTTAGGAGCTCCATTAGAAGCAAAACAATAATATAAAGCAGAAAGGAGTGCAACAGGTAAGTCCACCAGGTCTCTGTACCTTCTCCCCCTCTCTCACATACACTTGCTTAGGATGAAGGTTTAATAGCTTTATTTCTGGACAAAAGAATCATATAATCTATTCCCTTTTTCACCTCCCATCAGATCTACTGCTTCAGTCATCTTGCTGAACAACTCCTCCCAAACTGCAGTCGGCACTCACTGGCAAACAACAACAACTGCTTTCTAGTTCACTTGAAATCAAGCAGCACCAAAGATGTGTTGGTCTCGTGGCACCTGCAAAACCCACAAAAGGAGAAACGGGACCTGAAATTGTGGGTTATTCGGTTTCAAGGTTCACTTAATCTGCACTTCCCCGAAAAGCTGTGCTGCTCTCCGGGACAAACGCCTTCGTGACCCAGGGAGACCTGCAGGGTGACCCAGGGAGACCTGCAGGGTGTTTATACCTCGCCACCCACTGGCAGAAAGCTACATCGACACTTAGGAATAAGTATCCCACAGATTCACGTGGGCAAGGAATGCTTCCCAAGTGCTTTATTTTCCAAAAAGACACACCAAAAAAATCAGCATTTTCATCACACCGGATAACAGGGGCTACTTACACAAAACTAAAACGTGCCCCTGAGGCTAAAAGAGAAGAATGCACTTGGTACAATCAATGTACATAATTATCCCTCTAAAATACAACATATTTCTTCTCTATTCTCTTCTCCTTCCAGGATTAAATTCCCCTGATCCAGTAAGATGTCTTCATTTCCCAAAGGCAGACAGCTCTGCCATTGTTATAGCTGGGAAAGTGGAGAAAATACTTTGGAATGATGTACAATTATTACTGCTGTTACCCTGTGATTAGACTTGCTAGTAAAGGCAGGCTCAGAGCAATCCTCAAGGCTACACATTCCTAAGTGCTCTGCAAGACTGGCTTAGGAATCAAACATCAATTCTTGGACTCACCTTTAATTATAATTTGGTATGAAAAAGCCAATATTCTGAAGCACAGCAAAGTGTATTTGTGCACCACCTTGCACAGGACCTGCTTTTGCAATTTTGGATAAACGACACACCAGGTTTACAAGGAAATCAGGAACTACAGAAGAGAAATGCAGCATATTCCCTCCACACTGTTCAGTCTGGAGAAGAGAAGGCTCCAGGGAGACCTTGAAGCATCTTCCAATTCCTGAAGGGGCTCCAGCAAAGCTGGGGAGGGACTTGGGACAAGGGCAGGGAGGGATGGGATGAGGGGGAATGGATTAAAATTGGAAGAGGGGAGATTGAGGTGAGACATGAGGAGCAAATTCTTTGGTGTGAGGGTGGTGAGAGCCTGGCCCAGGTTGCCCAGGGAAGCTGTGGCTGCCCCATCCCTGGCAGTGTTGAAGGGCAGGTTGGATGGGGCTTGGAGCAGCCTGGGCTGGTGGGAGGTGTCCCTCCCCATGCAGGGGGTTGGAACTAGATAATCTTGAAGGTCTATTCCAACTCAGACCATTCTATGATTAAATCCTAAGAAAAAGGGAAAGGATTTCAATGGTTCACTTTAGTGTGACAAAGAGCTGCATCAGCGGTTCTAACAGGAAATGACCAGGATACAAATGAAATGATGTGATAATAAGCAACAAGAAAAGGTACTAGCAGGATGTACAATCAGCTGATAACAAGTTCATAAACTATCTGGAAAATGAGGTGGACATCATGCATTTTGCAGAAAATAATGATTCAGGATGATGAAATTTAAATGGCACAGCCAGAATGACACACAGATCCCAAAAATGCATGATAAAAGGGAGAAATACAATATTTTGTGCAAAATCAAGTGCATGAAGGGGATTATTCTTTCATGTACCTAAGTGAGCTCTGAAACAAATGCTACTACACAGGGACAAGATCTTGGGAAAAACTGCAGCCAGTTGTTTGAATATAAGATTATCCACAGTCAAAAGGAAGAAGGAATTAAATTATTGGTTGTTATGAAAGGAACTAAGAAGAGAGAAGAGAAAACATCCTGCTTCATAAAATGTACATGGCAACTGTATCTTGAACAGTGAAACCTCAGTAACTTACTAACACAGTAGAAATGGGACAACTGATACAGTGTTAGATGAACATCTGGTTCGCAGCCTTAAGGCAGCTGGTTTGTTTTTAATCCATATAAACAGTATTACATATTTCTAAAGTCATTAAAGACAATGGATTCATAAAAAAACCTCCAGGAATGGTGATCAGGATACTCCAACTGTTTCTCTTCCAACCCAAACCATTCTGTGACTCACTCTGCAAGTTAAGAAAGGAGTTGCTGGACACATGGAGTCACCCAGCAGCAACACAGTCAGACTCAACTACTCCGTCCTTGGAAGGCTTCAATTCTCTAGAAACAACCTAATGAACACCAGTTATTCCTTAGCCAGGAGAAACAGTCTTTCCAAAACCAAACTCTGACTTACCACAAGTAACAATTCTCCCAGTGATTTCCTTTCAAAAGAAAGAAACAAACAAACACCAAGCCCTTTTTTTTTATTTTTTCCTGTTACATTTATTGTTCTTTTGAGAGGCACAGAGGCAATTTCAGCTTTTGCTCATTTTCTCTTCCCTTGCAAAACAGCAGGGTACAGGTTATAGCCATCAACCTACAATCAGTATAGACTTCAGAAGGTCTCCAATTCAATTTCCACTTTTCCTGATGATAAGAGGCACATGTGCCAGACAGCAGCAGCAATAAGTGTAAGTAATACTTGCTCAAATAGCTGCTCTGCCTGCTATTTTAAGGCAGGTTTGGTGCAAGTTTGACAGGCAATTTGCTCAGGAAATGAAAAGAATTTTGCCTACAGAAATACATTAACTTTGATTGAAAGAGGCTTTTAGAAAATACTTCATTAGTGTGAAATGATATTGATGTTACACTCCCTTCAGTCAGAAAGACATTGATGAATCTTTTTTGTTCAGAATTCAAGACTTCTCAGCTATTCCTTTACCTTGCAGGAATGGCACAAAATGTAGTGATGCTTTATTGTCACAAAAGGCAGAAGTTTCTCAGGGAATTGTTAATTCAGGCAGGTTTCCAGAACTTCTCAGGCTGTGTTCTCAATGATAAGAGCAATGCCCTGTCCACCTCCAATGCAAGCTGACCCAACTGCGTATTTCCCACCACGTCTCCTGTACATGAAAAAAACAACAGTAAAAATTCTATATATATTTACAAAACCAAAGTAGCTGTTATCTTGATTTATGACAGGGAACTAGCTATCCTGTAGGGACTACTAAAGATGATGGTTTGGAATGTGCATGTTGTTCTTTTTCCTAGAAAAACCTCACAAAGCCTCGACTGATGTTGAAATATCTCTGTAGAAAAATAAGGAGTTGCAGGTCTGAGTGTTCTGCCATCTAAAAGATGGTTTGTTATGTTGTTCTCAAGAATACAAAATGGCAAGGAATGACCCGATAGGATACTTGTGGTTTCAACATATTATAAAAACAGGATAAGGAAAATATCATCTTGTGGCCAAGGTGGTTTTTAAAAGCTGAGCTTTCTACAGCCACATTCCAAGGAACAGTTCTCTGCAAGGTGCAAATTAAGTGAAGCTTTATGGTTGAACACTAACACAGTGTTGCAAGTACAATGAAAACAAATACAGTGATTTCTGCCCTGAGGTGGGGGGGGAAGAAGAAAATTCAGATGAAAATAGTGCTTAGTTTGTCAAGCAAGGCAAGAGAGTTCAAATTTCTGAAAATGGACTAAAGGACAAAGAGGTAATGACAAAGCCTTTGACATGGGCCTGGCTAAGAAAAGCACAGACTTTGCTCAAAGGCCATTTCCATAAAGAAAACCTTCCCACTGCCCACTGTGGGCTTGGATCAGATCTAGGGGATGGAAAAAAATCCTGTAACGACAACAGAAGGGAATAAGAGGCAAGCTGCAGGACCTGGGCTACAGCACAAAGGTAAGAAACTTCAGTGTGCAGAGTTTCCAGGCAGCAGACTGGAAGATTTCAGTCACACAGTATGCATGCTAACCACCTCTTGCAGGTGATCTCAGCACTGCACTCATTACCTTAATTCATGGACCAGATGAGCTGTGATCCTTGATCCTGAAGCACCCAAGGGATGACCTATAGCAATGGCACCTCCGTTGACATTGGTTTTTTCAGGGTCAAGGCCCAAGACTTTTTCGACAGAGAGATACTGAGGGGCAAAGGCCTCGTTCACCTAGAGCACCAGAGGAACAAACACACAAACCATCACACCAGATTTTCCACACGAGCTCCATGTGTGCACACAGGATTAAGTGAGGTGTGCTGCTTCTCCAGGTCATTTTTAGGGTGAAAAATATTAAACACTGTGTTTGGAGAAGCATAGACAACCTACAAATTGTCAGGCCAACAAATTCAAATCCTCCTGGCACATGTGATACAAGGCAAGTATGTGGTATATTTTATTGAATAAAGGGAGTGGTGTATTCTGATGTAATGCATTCATGAAGAGCCTGCTACTGTGACAAGAAATGGCCTTGCTCACAAATGGAGAAGTGGGACTAACTCAAAACATGAACAGTCCAGCCAACAGAGTAAAACCTCGTGCCACAGGAGGATACTTTTTTCCATGGAATGCTATAATGCCATTAGCAATTTCCACATGCTTGAGATTTTGATCATGACTGTGCAGCTGTGTGGTAGAAAGTAGATGGATTGAGGTCAGGCAGGTGAGCAGGCATGAGGAAACACCTAGGTGGAATATTTCTGCTAAAAAGATCAGGAGCAACCTCATTGTTCATGTTCAAATTCTTTACCTCTACCAAATCCATGTCCTTCAGGGTCAGGCCTGCTTTCTTCAGAACCTCAGTAATTGCAGGTACAGGGCCTACATGGAAATCATATGCACAGTTAGTTAAATAACTAAAACTAATAGCTTAGAAAAATGTTACACACAGAATAACTTTGTAAAGCCTCTTTGTATCCTCTTCCATGAGCCTCCATGCTGCCGGTAAATTCTGGATATGCCACTGACATGCTTTCTTAGGTAGAAAGAGAACTAATTATCAGAATTATTTGCAGCCTTCTCAGGACACTGCCAGGAGAAGTGAGGAGTGTCCCTACTGCTGCACAGTAAAACACAGACATAGCTTCCAAGTCAGGAGAACTGATTGACCCCAGCCAAATGTAACAACTTCACAACAGTTTTGAGGAATTCTCCTTCCCACTACTCTTGGTTCAGCTTATTCCTCCCTCATAACTTGCAGCCTTCAGGTGTATGAAAAAGGTAGGCTGGTCTGGAGTTTGCTGGTCATGCTTTTAGTTCTGGTTTTCTTAATGTAATTTACCTGAGAACTATCTAGTCAGGAAAGCTAACAATAAATTATTCCCTTGGATCCAGGTCCCAGCAAGATTATTTTTTGAGAAAATCATAGAGTTGGGCAAGAAAATTGCTCTCTGGAAGAAAGCTGACACCTACAACCTGGTGTAATCTACCAGGGGAGATGAATCTCAAAAGCACAGCTACCTAAGGGGACACTCAAAGGGCTAACTAGATACCTGCTTGCAGGACAAAGATATCGAGATGTTAGATGGTAGCTGAGAATTAGGCAAAAAAAACCCCCAACCCTAAAACATTAACATTTACCAAAAAATGGTGTTGGCAAGTCATGGCTCAAAGATGAGAAAAACTTAAAAATGGAGAAAGGGCCCAGTTCAAAGCTCAACAGATTGTTAGAAAACCTCAGGCAGCTTCATACTAGACTCTAAATGCATCTCATTATGGAAGGATTTTAATGTGCCCGTGATGAGTGACAGTAATGGGAGGGTCTCAGATGGACAAAGACCATTAACTGCAGCCAAGCAGACATTGTCCCCTCCCTCTCTTTTTTAAATGATGAATTCACTTACTAGACATGGGGAGGCTGGACTCCCTGTCACTATGAGTATGTGAAAGGGCAGTTGCTCAGTCTGCACTCCTGTCCTCAGATCTGTTGCTGTCATGTCCATGAATCTCATCTGGTCCTTTTCAGTTGCTGGGGACAAGCTGTGGTGTTAAGGAGTTAGGATACTAACTGTTTCTCCACATGATTTATGAGGCTTTTAAACAAGTTAAAAAGAGAGTTGCCTGACCTAGAAAGAATGGGCTAGTTTAGAAAGCACAAAGAGAGCATGAAGTCTTCAGAAAGAAACCCTCCCTCCACATTTGCTTTGAAGGTCATGTTCCTCAGAGAGTCTGCTCAAGAAAGGAAATCTGACAATGCCTCATTTGCATTCCTACTGACACATGGAACCAGTCAGCAATGACCTCTCTGAACAGAAGGGCAGACAGGAAAAGCCATGCTGGGATACATTGGTTGGACATTAGGAAAAAGTTCTTTCCTGAGAGATGCTGGAACAGGTTGCCCAGGGAGGTTGTGGATGCCCCCCTCCTTGGAGGTCTTCCAAGATCAGGTTGGATGGGGCTTGGAGCAACATGATATAGTGGGAGGTGTCTCTGCCCATGCAGGAGGGTTGGAACTGGACGATCTTTAAGGTCCCTTCCAACCCAAACCATTCTATGATACAATGCTGTCCACAAACTAAACAGAAGGAAAAAATCCTGAGGTTTCAGGATTGGCTTTGAGGGTTGGTTTGTGTTAACAGCTCCTTGATTAGGAAGCACCAAATGTGGGACTACCAAAAAAAGAGAAGCAGGTGGTTTGCTACAACTTCACCTGAATGGATGTGTATCCTGGAAGCCAATCTTAGCTGAGTAACTCCTGAAAGGAGCACATGGACCCAACCCTCCTTCAGCAGGTGAAGAAGACAACTCAGAGTCAGGCACTTAATTCTGGGATTTAAAGCTTACAGGGAATGAAAGTGAACTTCAGGAGAAAACTGGTTTTAAAACTCACTATAAAAGGGAGGGAAAAAAGTTCCTGGGGGACTCTACTTCAGTGCTAATGCACACACACCCTCTCAGCCAAAGTGAGGAGTCAGTCCGTCCCTCTGCCTAAGATGGATGCAGTGGAACAGCCACTCTCAGTAGCTATAAAGTAATGTGTTTTATTACAACTTACCAATGCCCATTATGGAAGGGTCACAGCCAGATGAATGATAGGCCACTATCCTTGCCAGAGGAGTCAGACTGTGCTTTTTAAGTGCTGATTCACTGGCAATGATGACTGCACCAGCTCCATCACACACCCCCTTGCATTAAGAGAGAAAAGCTTTCTTAGTAAAGACAAACAAACCAAAAAAACCTGCAACATTTCAAACTAAATATGCCCCTCAGAAAAAACTCGTTGAGTCCAAGACACAATTATTAACATTTAACCAACAGTTGTATTAGTGTTTAACCCAAACAACAAACCACAATCTTTCACTAGTTTGTGGATGACTTAAATTTAGAAGTTTAATTAATTCCAATGTTTTAGCAAATTAAGCCACATTTTTTGCCACTCCCTTGCACTGGAAACATTCTGTAGACCTGCAAGGACACTATTAATATTAGATAATATTAATTAGAAAAGATATTTTACTGTGGCTGTGATCTATTTCAGGCAGGAATTCAGATTCTGTGATCACAGTGGTCATTCCAGCCCAAAGAACATTCATCAATTGATAGAGACAATGGCTGTAAGAGGAAGAGCCCATAATGACATTGCTGCTAAGCTCCCAGTTCACCCTGGGTAAGGACATAATGTGGTTTGGACTACAAAGGATAGAAATTGTGGAATAAAGATAACCAGCAGCAGAAGCATGGCCACTAACAGAACACTTGATCTACAAAGCAAATGTTCAGAAATTGTTACCCTCCAAAAGAAAAACAGAATCATGTAATCTCAGATTGGTTTGGGTTGGAAAAGACCTTAAAGATCATCTAGTTCCAACTCCCCTGCATGGGCAGGGACACCTCCCACCAGCCCAGGTTGCTCCAAGCCCCATCCAACCTGATCTTGAAGACCTCCAAGAGGGGACCATCCACAACCTCCCTGGGCAAAGTGTTCCAGGATCTCTCCACCCTCGCACCAAAGAATTTCTTCCTCATGTCTCACCTAAATCTCACCTCTTCCAGTTTAAAACCATCCCTCCTTATACTCTCACTCCCTGTCCTTGTCCCAAGCCCCTCCCCAGCTTTCCTGGGGCCCCTTCAGGCACTGGAAGCTGCTCTAAGGTCTTCCTGGAGCCTTCTCTTCTCCAGGCTGAACACCCCAACTCTCTCAGCCTGTCTTTGTAGCAGAGGTGTTCCAAAATAGGACAGCTAATTCTGCGTAGCCACTGCAGGTATCAATTGCATAATTAAAGGCTGATAAGCAAGTGTCAGTTCCTCACTGAAAGAACAGTGACAAGCCCAGAACCAAACTTTAGGACCCAGGAGCAGACTGAAGGATCCTCTGCCATCTCAGGGCTGGAACAGTAAATGAAGTGAAAAATTAAAACCCTTTTTCATCAGGAGATACCACTGACAGCCAAAGGTGGCTCAGCGTGACATAAATACAGCGACAGTAAACCTGGAGGAGCTCAGAGGTGACACTTTCCCAAGGCAAGGCTTCGACGTACTCACTGAAGCATTCCCAGCAGTCACTGTGCCATTTTTTTTAAAGATAGAGGGGAGTTTGGCCAACTGTTCCATCGTGGTCTGGGGCTTGGGGTGCTCATCCTTTTGCATACTTTCTTTCCCCTTCTTCGTTTTCACTTCAATTGGTGCCATCTCAGTGTTGAAGTAACCAGCATCCTGAGCTGCAACCACAAAAAGGACTCTGATCAAAATATCTAGATGATTGCACAGCATGACCAATAATCCCATTTTCATGTGCACAAAACCTTTGCTCTATTTTAACCAAGAGTCCAGGGACAGAGCTGTTTATGCTTTATTTTGCTTTGGTGTTTTATTGTTTGGTTGGTTTTTTAGAAACTGGGCAAAAACTCTACAGATACATTCTCAAATTCCTCCAAAGAAAGTCTCAGATTTCAGCTTTAAAAAATGGATTTTTTTTTCTTTTCTTTAAATCACTAGATTTTTTTTTTGTCTACATTCTCCTGTATTTCTGCTTTATTCTACAGCTTTGTCACTTGCCAGAGGGCCAAGAAGCTGTAAATCTGATTCAGGGAGGACCATGGAAAAAAATCCTGAGCCACAATTTCTCTGGCGATAACCAGTATAAAACCAACATAATATTGTATATCAATTAAAACCCTGTCCAAGCTGCTCCTGCCACAGGATCTCACAGTCAAATCATAACCTTAGATTGGGATACAGCTGTCTAAACCACAATTCAAGGCACTGCAGGTATCTAAGATGCCCAGAAGAGGATCTGGCCACATCAGCTAAGACGACATTAGACACCAATACTCAGGCAACCAAATACCACCTTTTGTGTCCACAATGTTGATGTGAACTCACAGATAAAAACCAAAACAGCTCCAAACTCCCCAAATGGAACCAAGACTCCCAGCTCTTTCAAATCAGTTCACAAATGCATCTCTAAGGGATTGAAAACTAAGACACTGAAACTGCCAGATCTGATGTTGTTTTGCTACCTCTGAACTTTCTCAAGAAATTCTACAGTGTTTTTTCTTTCCAAATTAGCCACAGGACTCATCAGTGTGAAATAAGATGAACTGGTCATAACAAGCAGAAATAAAAACCCATCAAGGCAAAATTCTAGAAGACAAGAAAGATGCAAAAGCCTCTTCAGGGGCACAGTTTCCAGCAAAACCTCCAGGAATGTCAGGAATTAGCTAAGAACATCAGCAGGGAAGGTAACACACTCTTGAGTGAAGTTACAAAAAGGACCACTAGAGCCACTGAAAAAACCCCAAAATCTTCCTTCAAGAGGAGCAGCTGTTAAAAAGCACCACCTGCACAGCCATGAACGTGAAGCCTGTTCAGGCAGGAGGTGACACATGACAAGCCAATGGCATTTGCTGCCTCAATTGAATGTCCCCAGTGAGGGACATGCAAATCAGTGGAAAGAGGCTTATTACTTAACCTGCTGATTTCCACACCACCTGCCTCAGGGTATTTCAAGTCAACCCCCTGAGGAATGAGCTGCTTGTACCACAGGGCAAACCACAGCATGAATCCCAGCATCTGCATGTCAAAAGACAAATCACACCAAGACACAACCTACGTAATAATTAAAAATACTTGGAATCTATGCTAAAAAACTGACTAGATTTAAAACTGGGACCATATAAAGATTCCCATTCCTGGATTTACTAACCAGCTTTGCATCTCTGTTGTGTTTTGAGGGCATATTTGTCACAGTCCTCACGTGTGATGTTGTATTTTGCAGCCAGGTTTTCAGCTGTTACTGCCATAGGTATCTTAACATGTGTATCTGTCAGTCCTTCCCACAATGTGTCTTCCAACTGCAGGGAACATTAGGAAAAGAAAATCAACAAGCACAGGAACATTAACACTTATGATTGACAGTTTCTAATGATTCAGCAGCCTCCTGGAAACTTACATGTCTTTGTAAACTGAACTTAGGTTGCTTACAGAGACTTTATTGACATTAGAACAAACACACTGCAAAAAATCATCCAGATTCTTGTGGGCTATTTTAATAAATCTACGTTGTTCTACGGTGGTTCTTTCCACTCAGGTGTGGTTCTGAGAAATTTGGAAAAAGCTTACAATTCTTTCAGCATGAATTACTTCTTAAGAGACCTGTGAGAAAACACACCTCTCCCTCTGGTTACCAGGGAGGAAAGGTAAGGAACTGTGCAAAGGCATAGCAGCCTACTGATTCTTTGGCTCTTTCTCTACTTTCAGGTAAAATCCCTTTACTTCAGTCCAAGGTTCCTGCAGGTAAAACATCTCTGGTGAGAAAATACTCATGTTCAACTTCACTTAAGCTAATAAAGGTTAGGCCAGTCAGCTCAGACAGGGTTTGTCACCTCTGTCACCAGTAAAGTTACCCAAGAGAAATCACTCACTCATCTGCAGCTGCATAATTCAATCATTTCCATGTAAGACACTTTGGGAGTTATCAGCAATTTGGTGAAGGTTGCTGTGTAAAGCTGGGCTTAGTCAGTGCCCCATGAGATTCTCAGGGCAGAATCCCATAGACTTCACCTTCACAGTGAAAAAAGAGAGTAGGAAAAGCAAAGAGCTGAAAGACTGAAATCTCCTATGTAGCATTTTGATGTGGGTTATGACCCACTGAATAAAAGGCAACTGTCAGAGCAGAAATGGATCCTGCTGCCAATTTCCCACAGTACTCACTAAGGACAGAACTTCAAAAGAAACTGCAAAAATAACTTGGCTTGGAGAAGTCAAGGGATTTAACTTCAAGTTTCTTTTTTTAAGATAAAGAGATGCTTGCAACTTGGAGGTATACATGTTCCTTACCAGTTCAACTCCCCACTCCTAGCTTTCCCAAAGCTGTGTGTGCCTCCATTCACAGCCCCTGTCATCAGGAAATGGTTTTTATTATATAGACCACTTTGATGGGATGTACCAAGTGAACTAAGCTTTGTGTCTAAGTTCATTAACATGTTTAATGTGGAACAGGAGTTCAAAAATAGTATTGGAAAAGTCAGAAAACTGGCATGCTTAACCAAATTGCCTGAACCTACTGTTTTGGTAATGCCTGAATACTGGAGAAATGCTTTGAACAACTAAATCCAGATCTAATCTCCAATAATTTTCATCCGCAAGGATATAGTGTCTACAGGCCTGATACTTCTCTGGTGCTCAGCAAGCATGACCTTATTCACACACATGCACAAAATAAAATACAAGTACTAGACCTTGAGTTCTGCTCCTAATCTGGTTCCAAACCGAATGTTTCGAACTGCGTAAGGAGCCTGGCTCATGTTTTCAGCTCCACCACACAGGACAACTTCTGACTCATTCAGGCAGATTTCCTGATAACAAAAAAACAAAAGAGGTCTAGGATTTAGTCTGCTGGTTTTGTAAGACAGTAAGAACTGTCTTAGAAAAAGACCTGGTCATCTATAAAACTGCAAACACAGGAATTCATGCTCAGCCATGTGTACATTTATGAAGGGTTCTATTAAGATGGGGGTCTGTGTCATTGCATTTTCCTTTCTCCTCCTTTCAGCAAGGAATCATTATATCCATGAGGGAGGAAGAGAAGATGGGTGCACACATGTGACAGGGCTGAGGAACAAAGCCATTAAGCATCTGCATGCTTGTGTGGTCAGGTTCACAGATGGGTGAACTTCCCCCCCCCCCATTCAAAGAGAAGTTGATTTTATTCTATATTAGAAGTTACATGACAAACGATCAAACCCATGAGAGGGTTTGAATCTTTGAGTTAAAAGACACTTAAAATGCACAGGTTGGTGCTTACGTAGGTGAGAATATAAACAACGATCAAAAGATGGAAGCCTCCTGTTGATGCCCAGTAATTCCAATTCAGCCAAAAAGGATCACAGAATGCAACTGTTTCCCTGGCTAATGCTTACTTGTTGCATTCCTTATATGAAATGATGATTTTTAAATAACTGATAATTTTTAATTAATTAATTACTTACTTTTAATTTAAAATCAACCCCAAAGTGGATGCTGAACTCTTACACAAACCCTGCAGGGCAAGAGGAATTCTCCACCAGTGGTAGCTAAAAATCCATGTTAAGACTCATCCCAAACACAAAGTTTCAACGTCTCTTCTCACATGCTACCAGTCTGAGAAATGTTACAAGTGATACAGAAAAAAATAAATCACAAGAGCTTTGTACCTGACATCCACTGGCAATGGATTGGAAACCAGAGCCACAAAGCCTGTTGACAGTGAGGGCTGGCACTGGGACAGGAACTCCCACACGTAAACCCACGTGTCTTGCAATATAAATGGCATCCGAGGCGCTCTGCAGGCAGAACACAGTTGGTTACACTCTCATGTCTTCAGAGAGCACGAGACTTTCCATCAAATCAGAAGGGTGTTAGTGGCATCACTCATAGAAGACTGTGTATTCAACAGAATTTTGATTTAGTTCAAAAAGACACCATCAAATCAAAGAATCCTTAAGGTTGGAAGGGACCTTGAAGATCATCCAGATCCAACCCCTCTGCATGGGCAGGGACACCTCCCACCAGCCCAGGCTGCTCCAAGCCCCATCCAACCTGCCCTTCAACACTGCCAGGGATGGGGCATCAACAGCCCCTCTGGGCAAAGTGTTCCAGCACCTTCCTACCATCTTTAATGAGCAAAATGCACAACATGCATTTTAAAGAAACTGTGTACCATAAGAGCCAGAAATGAGGCCAAAAATGGGACTGCAGCTGCTGAGACTGAAGTCAACAATTTAATAGTCTGAATTTTTCCCTTTTCCCCTGTTTTCAAACCAGCACACACACACTAGATGAGGTAAGAACAACTGACTGACAAGCAGCAACTCTTCCCAGATAAATTAAAATTGCTCAGGACACCAGGGGAAGGTCCCCCAAAACCAGACAGTGGTGGAAATGTGGAGATGCTGATGCTGCTTCATATCCACTTAGGGAAATTCCATAATTGTAATGTTCTAACTGGACACTGGCCTTTCCTAACAATGAAATCCCACTTCTCCAGACGGTTATATCAGTCTTCTATTTGAAAAGCAAAGTACTGCACATAGAGCAGTTGGCTTCAGAACTCATCTAATAAACCAGGCTCCAACATAAAATGAAACAAACCCATTAGGTTTCTTCATTTCAACTACTGAGCACAGATACAGAATTCAATGTTCTAACAGCCTTGCTATAAGCTTGTCATGGATCTTTTCCACACTAAGAGAACACTTAAGGATCTTGTCCTCAGCTAATATGTATTATACAAAGTTCACTGTACAAGGCTACTTGCCAAAGCAGGTTCAGAAAAAAAGAAATAAATTAATCTGGCCACTTCTCCTTAAGAAGGGGAGTTTGAAGTGATCATACACTCATTTAAGTATACACTCATTAAGTATATACTCATTAAGTATACACTCATTTAAGTAATCAAATAACTTAAAAAGGAATGCACAACTGTAAAAAGAAAAACTACAAGGATGGGGAAGTATGATGCAAAGAAAATGTAATTTCAACCCCAAAAGACATATTTTTATTAAGAGAATGCTGCTATTTATGTGAAAACACCCCAAGAGCTTTGGATGCAGCAATGTTTTTTTTTCCCAGATCACAACCAGTTCTTAAAATACCCCAAAAAAGTGGCATAAAAGAAGCTCAGATGGGACCTGTAGGAGACAGAAGAATCAAAGACTTCTTCAGCTGAAAATCCAGTACTGCATCTGATATTCATCCTTCCATGATGTTCAGTTATCATGAAACTTCTTAGGTATTTGTTTTTTCTGCACCCTTGAAACACTCAGTGCAAAACAAGAGTGCCTACCCTTAATAAAAGAGGAGGTCAGAGTACAAAACAAATCCAGAAATGCTCTTTGCTGTCTTGCCTAAAACAAAGACTCTCATCTAGATACGTGGGTAACTGCAGTTGTGCAGAGCAGCTACATCACAAGCTCTTTGGAAAGGAGATGATTGTCCAATTGCCTCTGCCAATCAAAGCATGTGTCCTTCCAGCTCGAAGTAATCTCATATTCACTCAAACAATTTTATTTAGAAAACTCAAGGGAAAAGGGCTCAAATCAGTCAGTCTCCAGAAAGAAAGGGATTTATACAATTCATTGAAAACTCACTGATCACTGAATTCCACAGCTTGAGTCATAAAAGCAGGAAAAATGTACCAGGAATTAGCAACTAACTGTTCAATGAATCCACAGTTTTTAGATCAGTTTGTCCTAGTTTAAACTACTTCTGGTATTAAAAAGAGAAAGCTAAACCTTGCTCCCAACAACATGAAGAGGAAACATCACACTAGAAATTTCACTGACCCCTTCCATGTCCATCCCTTGGCTGCAAAGCAGAGGGAACTATCTATAGGACCACACGGAAGGAGACAATGGACATAACCCGAGAGCAGCCAGTTTTCCATGCTACCAACCTGAATGACATTGCCAACAATGACACTGTCAATAATCTCAGGAGAGATCTTGCCAGCAGCCAAGGTAGCCCGGACAGCATGTTCTGTCAGATCAGTGGCTGAGAAGTCCTTCAGCAAACCCCCATAGCTCCCAAAGGGAGTTCTCTTGGCTGCAACAATGAAGACACCTGCAAGAGAAGAGACAATCATCCAGGTGAGCAGAGCCTAAGGAAGGGAAAACCACCAAGGTGGCATCAGCTGGATGACAGGCTCAAAACACAGGAGGCTTTGGCAGTAAAAACAGTGTTGAACCCACAAAGTTAAAGAAAAGACAGGAATGCGTTAGACAAGGAAGGTGCACAGAATGATGGTCAGAAAGAAAAGCTGGGAGTGAGTCCAGAGAAGGCCACAGAAATGACCAGAGGACTGGAGCAACTCTGCTCTGAAGAAAGGCTGAGAGAATTGGGGTGTTCAGCCTGGAGAAGGCCCCAGGGAGACCTTAGAGCACCTTCCAGTGCCTGAAGGGGCTCCAGGAAAGCTGGGGAGGGGCTTGGGACAAGGACAGGGAGGGATGGGATGAGGGGGAATGGATTAAAACTGGAAGAGGGGAGATTTAGATGAGACGTGAGGAAGAAATTCTTTGGTGTGAGGGTGGTGAGACCCTGGCCCAGGTTGCCCAGAGAAGCTGTGGTTGCCCTATCCCTGGCAGTGTTGAAGGGCAGGTTGGATGGGGCTTGGAGCAGCCTGGGCTAGTGGGAGGTGTCTCTGCCCATGCAGGGGGTTGGAACTAGATGATCTTTGAGGTCCCTTCCAACTCAAACCAGTCTGGGATTCTATGATTTCAGAAATGCTTCTTTTCCTTGAAAAGGTTTGAAAAAAAAATAATTAGTTTGGATACCAGGGAGACAAAAGAGACTGTCACAGCACATCAGGAGTCAGAGCTAGTGTGTTAAAAGCATGAAAGTAACATCCATGAAATCCCACAGTGGATTCCTGTGAAATAGTCAGATGAGGAACACGTTATTTCAAGAAATAAAGAGGCCATTCGGCAGGTTTTTGATTGACACTCTGTAACAGTTTTCACAAAGAAAACAAACCAACGTTGAAGCAAAAAGGAAACAATCCTTTGCCCCTGCATTTTAACTTGGATTTCCAGAATTATATACATCATCTAGATATGTCTGTGAACCCCAGTGAGCATGGACTGAGTGCCTGGCACAGCAGCTCGCTGATCCCGTGCCCAGGAGTACGTGGGAGGCAGGTTGTGAACTTTCCCCCAGTTGGACAACAGAGCTCAAGTCCCTTTTCTACAGATGCCACCAAACAACCAGAGCTATTTTAAGCAACACTAGAAGGAGTTGTAGAAATATAAGAATGAAAATGCCTGTTCATTAAGCTGCTCGTGAGCACTGTTTTCAGCCCTTCTGTCAGTTGGCTGGTTTGTCTCCTTAGCTTCTCATCTATTTGGATCTCAGACTATGGGATTTTACAGAAAAGGGTTTTTCAAAGTGGTGAAGGTCAAGCTGGCTTCACTGCCAAGGACTGGAACATGCTGTTGGGATCTGAAACAGGCAGTGAACACACTGAGGAGATCATCTGGGAAATAGCCTGACGTAGACTGAGCAAGGACTGCAGCTCCAAGGACAGGGAGGAATGCAAATCCCAAGGTGGCTTTCACAGAGGGAACACCAGTGTCACTAAAACAACTGGATTTCAAGAGGCCTGCCAATGTTCAGAGGTCTGAAAAGTACCAAAACTGGCACTGTGAGAAAGTACAATCACAATTTGATAACAGCAAGTAATTCCACTTAATCCCAAACAATTCTTAATCCACTGACTGATTTATTTTTTCTCTTGTGCTTTTTTCTTTTTTTTTAAAGCTGAAAACTCTTCACAAAGTGTGAACCCTGCCAGTTCTTTTAACAAAGATGAGGGTGCTTTGCCCGATTCGGGTTTATGGCAAACAGGTGTGTGTAAGACTCACTTCAGGAGCAGTCCCTGGTGAGATTTAAATGTGGACCAGTCATTTAACTATCAAAAATGTCTTGTATTAACAATAACTTACAGAAGGTGGAGTTTGGATCTCCAATGAATGTTAACAACACTTGCAAAAAAGAAAAAAAGACCATTAGCTCTTTTAAGGATGATCTCATGTCCCCAAGCTTATCTTCCCTGCAGACTTTGACACTCCTCTTGCCACCACTCCCCCTGTCAAACAATTCCTGTCCCTCAGCCTGCTCCAAAATTGTGGCAGCAAGAGCTTTGCTGCAGGCCTGACCAAGCTAAAAAAACCTCCCTTTTAGCCAGGTTGCTGGTTATCCATGAGCTGCT